CTCATTTGCTACCCATGCTAGAGAGTAAGATCCCCTAAGAACTTGATTGAACCTCAGCATAGTGATCCTGCTTGGTCACCTTAGAGCAGGTGGTGGGCCGGCAACGTCGGGCGCATGGGGTCCCCAGCTGATCTCCTCCCTCCCTGCCTTCCTCGGATGGCGGCTGTTTATGCTGGACATGTGGCCAGAGACGGGTAAGGATCACGTGGAACCTCGGCTACTTAAGACAGAGACATTGCCATGCTGCAATGAGTCTCAATGACTGGTAAGACTGAGGAATTTGCACTGACCACCTAAGACAGGCAGCGTACCTTAAACAATCAATAAATAAGGAGGATTCAGATGCAGACAGTACAGACCCGGTCAGGAGGCCAAGCCCCTGTGGGCCCAAGCATTGTTGACCGTCCAAACCATAGGCTCTGAGGATCAGACTCTAGCCACCTAGTAGACATAGCAAACTGTCCCTCATCTGATTATTCAGTAATGTTTGTTAGTAATCTCATACGTGAGCCCTGGATATCCACAGACAAATGTAAAAACCTTCCCTAAAAGCCGAGACTGTAAATTCCAAAAAGCCAAGTCCCCCCCCATCCAAAAAAAAAAAAAAAAGCTAAAGAGGATAGAGAGAAACACTGTACACTGATGATATATGGTGGGGATAATAATCAATGTAATGAAACAAGCTATATGAATGGCTGAATGTGAAGCTGATGATGTGCCCTGTAAACTTTCACTCAATGCAAAAAAAAACATTTAATTAAAAAAAAAAAAGAGGTGGAGAGTGAGTCGTGGCACATATCCTTGTTTAGTGTGGTTTTCCCGGTCTGAAGAAAATTCACCTTATTCTTCTGCTGGCAGCTGCTACTTGCAAACAGATCTTAGGCCCCACCCACCCTGACTTGGGCCCTCTCAACTAAGTGGTCAGGGCAGCTCCAGGCTGAGTCCCATAGAAAGAACTTGCCTGCAAAGGTTATTTGCTCTCCAGGAAAAAGAGAGCTTGACAACAAGCCCCCTCTGCACTCTGAACCAACAGCCCCCCTCAATCCTCCCAGGCAGAAGCAGTCCTACCCGCTGCCTATAGCAGAGAAGACTCCAGGTTCCAAACTTTCCACTCCATTCCTCTGAACCTTCTTCTATTACGGGGTTTCCTTTCTCTGGACCTCTGGAAATGGAGTTACATACAGCAAATCAACTAGAGGAATGGAATAAAAAATAGATGCATTTTCTAAAGAAATTTATTTGACCAAATGACAATGCATGAGGTTATTTTAAACTATAAGGCTCTATTCAGACAAAATGTATCTTTATTATAAAGTAAATGTTGTCAATGTAAATGGCACCTAAAATCAGAGAATGAAATGCCTATGAATTGTGTGTCTGTATGAAGCACTCATTAAATCCTTAAATTCACTGGGTGCATTATATTTTAAAAACTAGGTTGTAAGCTAACAGAAATATATGTAAATAGTAGTTGAAATCAGGTTTCTTAAATTTGTGACCCCTACAATAATCAGGTACTTTAGGGGTGCTGTGACAATCAGTGAGGAAAAGCATCAATCCCAAATGAGCAGAACCCAAGAAGAGAAACGACGCCTCAGTCCTGAGATTCCTACACAGCATCCTGCCATTCCAAATCGTCAGGAATTTTAAATGAGGACGTAGACATTTCTAATCACTCTAGTTGGGAATCAGAAAAAACGACGCTTGGAATCCAGGGTTAAGAGGAGGGCGGGGAGGAGAAACCAAGGCAGAACAGAGTCAGCGGTTTCTGTAGAGCAGCTTTAGGAATGACCAAAGAAGCAGAGCAAAACAGCAGGTGGATCTTTGGAGCAGCACCCCAAGGTCTGCAGTGAGAATGGGACCGACGTGTTTCCACTACACATCAACACGAATCTTCAGCTGAGGGTGAAGTCCCTACCTGACCACACTAGGGACACAAGGCGAAGTACTCAGCTTTCCCCACAGGTTTTTCCAGCATCCAAGTGACTCTGTTTGGGGGTCCATGATGAAGCCTGGGAGACAGGAGTCAGCAGCTCCTAGTCACAAGATCAAAAAAGGTTCAGACTTGTAAGAGAATGAGACAGAAAGATACATCTCCTTAGTGCCCAGACAGCTGACAGCAAACCACACAGGTATCCAATGATCAAAGTAAGGGCTAAGGAGAAATCGGCAAAAGAAAGAAAAAAAAAAAAAAATCATTGTAGAGCATATTACTAATGTAAGAGAAATATTGTTGAGAATCTATTTAGTATGCTATTATTTTGATAAATATAAATATTTATGAGTGCTTTCAAGTTAATACAAGCAAAAAAAAATGTTTCATTAAAAATGTTCCATTAAAAATGTTCCACTCCAGATTTCCACAACTGACTTGATGTGGATTTGGGGATTTGGGTCACAAAAGAAATGTTTTTGCAGACACTTTTCTGAATCCTGATCAAACAGCTAAGTGGATGCACAAAAACACAGGAAGAAAAAGAAAAAAGACACAGGAAGAGTCTTATTTGAGCAAACATTTTTTTTTTAATCTATGTGCTTATGTGTTACACAAAGATATACTTGTTCATTTGTACGAGTGAATTTTAAGTCATCCCTAGGAGATCTGACACTTAAAACTCTTGGTTCCTTATCTGCTCTTTTGCTATCAGGTCTATGTGGGAGGGCTATTCAATGGCTTGTGGCTCCTTTGCTCCTAGTCTCCTTGTCGCTCTTAGAGGTGTATGTGCATTTAAAAATAGTTTCATGTTTCCCCTTCAGGCAAAATGGCTCGTTTAAGATTCCTAATCTAGAGAATACAATCTTCACTGATCCACAAACGTGTTTTAATAAACAGTGAGTGATTTTATATCACTTAAAAGGAGCTCTGGTAGCGTAGTGGTTACGAATCGGGCTGCGAACCTTAAGGTCAGCGGTTCGAAACTACCAGTCGCTCTGCGGGAGAAAGATGAGGCTTTCTACTCCCGTAAAGATTTACACCCTCGGAAACCCTGTACAGGGTCGCTATGGGTCGGACCCGACTCGATGGCACTTAACAACAACAACAACAATTTTAGCAGTATGCTTTTAAGACAGGTTTGTTCCTACCTAGCATTACAGGAAAGAACCTTAAACATATCCAAGTTGGTTATTACAGATGGACTTCTCTGTTGTGTGGGATTGATAAAGTGAAGGGACCCTGAAGAGGGGACAAAGTAAGAGAACTTCAAGGCTCTGTGGATCCACAGAACATTACTATGCCTGGTCTCAGCAGAATCTAAAATTCCTGTCTAATCAGTAGGGATGCGATACCTAATTACTGTATAGCACGTTTTGGCAAATTAGTCTTCTGCATCTGCAAACTAAATGAACTACATGGTCTTACTTCAATGGTAAAAGAAAAACTGTATCCACACAGTTAAATTGTAGTTAATCCTGTGACTGGGTACACAAAGAGATCATGCAACCTAATTGGTGTTATTAACTGTGTTCGAGTCATTTCTGACTCATAGTCACCCTGTATAGGGTTTCCAAGGAGTGGATGCTAAGTTAAACTGCCGACCTTGCAGTTCAAACTGACCTTGCGGTCCAGCGCATTAACCCGCAGGCACTCCTTGGAAATAAGGCTAAGTCATTTATGTTTGTTTCACTTTTTCACAACATTCGATGTCAGGAGCTGGATTCCCAATTTTCTGTAAATTTTCTCGATGAGTGGCCTCACATGTAGATTTAACTCAAGTTAAATTATAAAACTAACTGGCTTGGAATGAATGGATTTTGGAAAACAGGGTAACCTTATATGAACCTATTTCTGTACCTTCTCTAAAATAAATCATCTCTTGGTAAAAGATGTTTCTTTTGGCTCATCGGAAAGTAATTTTATTAGCTATTGAATATAACAGGGGACCATATCAATGTTGCTCCTCAGAAACCCTATACAGGGTCACTATGAGTTGGACCCGACTTGAACGCACTTAACAACAACAACAAAACAATATCAATGTTACTTCTAATGGATGAAACAAAATAAACTTGAATGGGGCACAATATAACATGGCGCATCCAAACCAGGGGCTGCCATAAACTGAGTGATAGAGTCACTCAATCAAGCCAGGTGCCACGGTCACACTGACCAACCACAGGGACAATGTGAGCAAAATGGTGCTCAGCTCGTCACAGTCAAAAACCACTGTTTCCTGCAACATGCTTCTGGTTAGAAGTGAGATCTGGAACCCAGCCTGTCATGGGACCATCCAGGCTGGAGCTCAGAGCATGGCCTCAGTGAATGGTTGGCTCCCCAGAGCCATGCTCACACCAGAGCCCTGGCATTCAGAACCTGGCACACAGTTGAGAGGGGCATCCATGCCTCTGGAGGCACAGGTAAGAAGACTTCAGAATACAAGCCCAAGAATGAAGCACAGGTGTCCATCACCCCACCCTTGTGACACCTGCTTCAGCCACTTGAGTCTCCCGTCTTCTCCAGCCCAAGTAAAAGGTTTCCCACAGCAGTGTGGGCGGGACAAGATGGCTCAAAATCACAAGCAAGTTGTGTTTGGCTGAAGATTGACACTGAGCTTAGAATTGCTTCCATTTGTTATCTCTGCAGCTTCAGGTTTCAGACCAGATTATAAATGGAAGAATATAAGGGTAATGTGAGTAAAGACCAGTGGGCTTTGTTCATTATCAAGCTATCTACAGAATACTCATATACGTAAAGTGATACAGTAAAATAATGCCACTGCCTGGAAGAAAAATAAACATTAGTCAAATCACTTCTTTCTCTAAAATTCCATTAAAAAGATCATTTGAAGAAAGCCTAAGATTCCCTGATTTTTAATATTGCCTCAACCTCAATGTCAAATTTACACTGTTCAGTAAATCCACCAAATGAACAATACCATCATTATAGCCGCCAACAAACTGTGAGGAAAATGAATTACAACTTGAAAAAATAAGTGGAAGACATATACATCAAGAGCACTAACATTTTTCAAGTTAAAAATGATAATATACCTAGAAAATATTGTGAAAATATAGATCTCAAAATAGAGCTACGTTTAGGCAGAAGGCTCAGTAAAATCATTACTTAAGAAGCTGGTCAATAGAAAGGCCAGGCAGAATGACCTTCTCACCTTGACCTTCCCACTCTCCTGCCCTCCCACTCTAGCAGTCTGGATGGACTAAAGCAGAATAACCTAAAACCCATGAAAAAATGCTGGTAGTTTTCAGGATCTCTTCAAGACCCTTTTCATCTTGGCAGCAGGAATCATCTCTCTGATCAAGGTAACCGATGCACTTGAAATGCGTTTGGAAACTCCGGTTCAAAGACCTCATCATCGTCTTCTACTCCTTCCTCTATTGGTTTCATCTTGGCAGAGGCTCGCTGATGTGGGGATGGTACATCTGTCAAAAGTTACAAAAAGAAACCCGCTTAATATGCTACTTACCCTGATACTAGTGTGATGGATCACTTAGAAACTGCAATTGGAAAAGAAAAGGGTAAGGGAAGTCTTAGCTGGTATCAGGAAGGCATCTTCCCCAAACACTGTATTGTCAACCCAGCATTTCAATAAAACAGCAAAGTCAAGAAATGATTCTTGGTTGTGAGGAAACATGCAGAGCTGATGCCACTACATTTGTCTGTCTGGATAACATATAAGCTTCTCAAACATACCCAGCTGTCAGGGACTTACCCTAAAATCTATTTAGGACTCTTAGATGAGTATCATACTGGTGGTGGTGGTTATGTGCTGTTGAATTGGGTTCCGATTCCTAGTGACCTGTATAGGGTTTCTGAGGCTGTAAGTCTTTAACAGAAACAGAAAGCCTCATCTTTCTCCCAAAGATCTGCTGGTGGATTTGAACTGCTGACCTTGCAGTTAGCAGCGCCATACGTAACCTGCTATACTACCAGGCTTCCTAAGATCCCATATTGACTCTAAAAGCCAATTTACTCCAAACTTTCCTAAAGAATAGTTCTTTACAGAACTATGGAACCCAACACTGTCTAATACCACCTAAAAGAACATTTCTTGTTGCCACTGGCCCAATCAACACCTGGACTAATGTTGGATGGGGGGAGAGAGACTCCATACCACCTTCTGGAAGGGAGACAGTTGGAGGAAATACAATCCCAGGTGTAGCAGGGCAAAGTCAGTATCCCCAAAGGAACCAAACCATGATTCAGTCAGTCCCCCACTCACTCAAACATTCACTAACTGCTGACAGAACATTTACTATATAACAGATATTGTGCTTGATGGTGGCACAGTGGGTTAAGGATTGGGCTGCTAACTGATGGGTCGGAGGTTTGAACACATCAGCTGTTTTGAGGAAAAAGATGTGGCAGTCTGCTTCCATAAAGATTTACAGCCCTGGAAACCCTACAGGACAGATATACTTGGTACAATCGGGTCATTTCTGGTGTGGCGCTGTAGGATCAGCACTAGAAATGTGAACCACAGAATAAGTGGTTCAAACCTACCTGCTGCTCCTTGGAAATCCTAACAGGGTTGCTGTGAATCTGAACCAACTTGATGACACTTACCAACAACAACAAAGGGTCACTATGAGTTGGAATCAACAAGACAGCACTGGGTGAATGGGTGTATGTCTGATGTAGAAGAGAACGTTGTTTAAAACAGAGTTGTTTTTAGGTGCCGTCAAGTCAGTAGCAACTCATAGCGACTCTATGCACAACAGAATCAAACACTGCCCGGTCCTGGGCCAACCTCACAATTGTTGCAACACTTCACTCCATTGATGCTGCTACTTTGTCAATCCATCTCACTGGGGTATTTCTCTTTTTCTGTGACCCTCCACCTTACCATTTATGATATATCCTTAACCAGTGACTGGTCCCTCCTGACAATACATCTGAAGTATGAGAGACGACGCATGGCCATCCTGGCCTCCAAGGAGCACTCTGGCTGCACTTCTTCCAACAGATCTGTTCTATGGGAAGCCCATGGCACTTTCAATATTCTCCTCTAACACGGTAACTCAAATGCATCAATTCTTCTACGGTCTTCCTTATTCACTGTCCAGCTTTCAGTTGCATATGAGGTTATTGGAAATACCATGGCTTGCGTCAGGTGTACCTTAGTCCTCAAGCTGACATCTTTGCTCTTCAACACTTTAAAAAGGTCTTGTGCAGCAGATTTGCATAATGTAATACGTCGTTTGATTTCTTGACTGTTGCTTCCAGGAATGTTTATGGTTGGTTCAAGAAGAATGAAGTCCTTGACAACTTCAATCTTTTCTCCTTTGACATGAATGTTGTTTATTGGTCCACTGATGAGGATATTTGTTTTCTTTACATTGAGATGCAATCCACACTGAAAGCTGTGCTCTTTGATCTTCATCAGGAAGTATTTTAAGTCCTCTTCACTTTCAGCAAGCAAGGTTGTATCATCTGCATATCTCAGGTTGTTAATGAGTCTTCCTCCAATCCTGAT